TTAATTTTTGTTACAATTGTTTTTTTGTTTTTACGAATTTTATGCATTTTTATCTTAAAATTTTAAAATGTGTATTTCCGAGAGCTTTAAAAAAAATCGTTTTATATTTTTTTTTAGTTCTTTTTGAAGTTTTCTGATAATTCGTATATTTTTATTTTTTTTGCTTTACTTCAACCTTTTCATAATTTTTTATTTTTATTTTATTATTTTTCTTAGAATACTTTAGAATTATTTTTTACACTTTTTGAATCTTTTAATATTTTTATTAGTTACTTTTCATATTTTAATATCATAATATTATACGTTTCAAATTTTTTATAATTTTATTATTCTCATTTTAGATTTTTCATGCATCTTTTTTACTTTTTATAACTTTTAATCTCTTAAAAAATCTAATTAATATTAAATTTTCTTTTTTTAGATTTTTTAGATTTTATATTATTTTTATTTACAAATTATTCCTCTTTTACATTCTTTATTTTCTTAAAAGTACTTATTTTTAATTAGTTTACAGTTTCCAAAAAATTGAAGAAAATTTAAATGTTTTCTACTCCGTCAAATGTTTGCGCTCACATAAAAGCAGTATTGTAAAGTTTTCAAAATATGGACTATTTTATAAAATTTTATACGTTTTTAAGCTTTTTTACCTTTACCAATTTCAATTATTTTCATGATTTTCAGGGTTCATAATTTTCCTCAATTTTCTATCATATGCATATTTCTATAAATTTTATAACATAGTGACGTAGATAAAAGATTTTGTTATCATTATCATCAATTCATCATGGTGTCTGTTTTCAATGGCTTGCCATCTTGGGGTTTCTTTTAACGAAAGAAGCAAGTCCTAATTCACGTAGTGTTAGTTATGTTCTAGCGTCGGTTTTCGACTTACGTGCTCAAGGTCCATTTTTGAAAAGAAAAACTATGAGTAACCTCATTTTGAAAAAAGTTTTAAGAGGTGATATAAGTGATATTGTATCCATTTTTTGTCTATTTGTGAAAAAATCTTTATTTTTAATTAAAACTCAAATCTGGTCCGATACTGATCCGATCCGGACAAACACGAAATAATCAAGTCCAGTCTAGGGTCCAAATTATATAGGTCTAGTCTTCGTCAAAAGTTTTTTGAAAATTTTGGTGCTGGTCCAACCGGTCGTTGGCTGATGTTGGCAACTATTCATTAACGTATATTTACCCACATATTTTAGAAAATTGTTCTTGCTATAAAACATACGAAGTATTAATAATACATAATTCCTTCCGAAAAGAATATATTATTAATTTATTACATACATAAAGTTAGTTTTTCCAACTATTTAAAAAGGTGGCCTCTCTCCTGGTTTCGCAGCCCTTAGAGCCTTTTTCCGTCTTCGTTTCTATGAAGGACGGTCGTCTGGTTTCTTTTCGGCGATCTTCACACACGGAAGTCCGTTTCCGCTGTTTGGTGGAGTCGAGTGATGTTCCGCTGTTACTTTGGTGTTGTTTTGCTGACCGTGAGAACGGGCGAGAGCAGGGGAGCAATTTTCAATGGGGAAGACGTAGATCATCAGTATAAACAAATGGCTATTGAGGCTGATAAGGAGGAGGTATTTTTTGAAGAAGAAGAGGAGGATGAGGAATCCAGTAAGAGATCAACAAATTTTCTAGTTGTAGACCTGATTCTGACAGATCACCCCCCTCCTGAATCGCTGCCATGGAGCGCAGGAGAGCCTAGGGAGGTTAGTCACGGTGACTCATTGATTCAACCGTTGACAATTTATATAAATAGCCTTCAGATATACAATATGGAAGATGAACAAAAAGCTGCTATGTATCAAGCTGAAAAGGAACGACTCATTGATCAAAAGCAAAGGAAAGAAGTCATACTAGCCGACCGGTATGACTTGAGTAATGTGATTATACAAGATGATTTTGCTCTCCATGTTAGTTATCAAGTATGCTTCAAATTGATAACTGATGATCTACTATTCACTTATTAGTTATAACTAATAGACTAGTGTGAGTAGTACTTTTTATTTTTATACTACCTCTTTCCTCCTAAGTTTGGGACAAAGACGTGTGATGTGGTTTTTAAGAAAAAGTAGAATTGTGTGGTTGATATTAAATTAATAAAGTGTGAATAAAGTAAAAATGAATTGTAACCACCCAAATATTACCAAATATGGTATGAGACAAACTTAATGGGACGGATGAAAAAAGTAAAACGAAACAAAGTTAGGGGGACGGAGGGAGTAATTAATTACTCCGTATTACTTTATTTGGAGCTGTTTTTGGTACTTAGTGCACTAGATTAATTATAAACTTTCAATTTTGTTTGTAGAAATTGCCCAATATAGGAGTAAATATAAACATAATTGCACAAATAGGAGTAAAGCTTAAAACTTCCTTCAATAGGAGTAAACATTAATTTTGTACCCTTAATATCCCTAACCTAGTTAATTCTAAAATATGACTTATTTAATCCTAACCTAGTTAATTTATGACTTATTCGATAATAATTTATTTATTTATTTTTCAAAAAATAAAAAATATAATTTTTTTTAAAAAAAAATTAAAAACTCAAAAAATTAAAATAAAATTCATCGCGCCTCTGCCGCCTCAGCACCACCTCCTCCAATCACCAAGGGAAAAAATGCCAAGTTCATTACGAATGCCATATTTATGGCAGAAAACAATGAAAATGTTGGCATTCGCAAAGAGAAATATGCCATGTTTTTTGCATTTTCAGAAAAAAGACAGTTTTTAGGAAAAATGGACTTTTTTCACCGCCCGGAGGTGGTGGTGCAGGGAGGTAGTACAAGCGGTGGGAAAGGCATCCATATTTTTTTATTTTTTTTATGGAGTTTTACTATTTTTTATTAATTTTTTTAAAAAAATAAAAAATTTTAAAAAAAAATATTTTTTATTTTATTAATATTTTATAAATTTTTTAATTATTTTTCTACGATTTTTTGAATTTTTTCCGAATTTATTATGAATTAAACATTTAATTAAAAGTTGTTGGGGCTTGGGTAGGGGTATACTTGTCCAAACACTAAAGTTACTTCTATTCAAAACATGATACTCTTATTTTTGCATTTTGCCTATGTTTTGCTCCTATTTGGGGAATTCTCTCTTTTGTTTGCCATCCACCGATCCAAATACATCTATATATGAATACGATCGAGTATTTATTTCGTATTTTGTATGTCAAAGGGCTTGTTGAATGCTTCTACGTATCAAAGCACCAACAGGAGATTGAATTGAATTCTTCAAAGCAATGAAAAGAATGAATGACCATAATTGTATGGAATAATACGATCGTGCTAATATGAGAGAAAAATATTTCTATTACTTTCAAGATATAAATAAGAGACATACAAGTTCTAACTAAAAACTCTAAAAAGCATCTCACATCTCTCTCAAGGATATTCAGAATATTCACAATTCTTCTTGATTGTGCTATGATGATATATGATCTAATTCACTTGATGATAGAAAGATTCTCCAAGCTTGTTATTTATAGTACCAAAACTAGGTAATAAAAAGGTGGAAGGAAAGTGGGATTAAACATGGGAGGAAGTTTCCTTTGTCATTCTTGGATATGGATGAAACATCATGGAAGCTAGGAATTAGATTCTTCAATATGCTTGTACTTGAATATGTCCTGGAAATTGAATTCTTCGGACATATTACCAAACATTTTACAAGTAAATATCACGCATATGCAGCGTTACAATTTGTGTACATCAAACTTTTCATGAGTTTAGTATATTGGTTTAAACAACACACAGGATTCGTAGCATGCCATTATTATATTTTCCATCAGGGATTCACGGTTTCAACATATTCTGCATTGTGGATTTATACAACAAAAACCGTGAATCAAATAAATACTCAAAAACTAAGTTTAAATTGTTGGGATCCCTCCTTAGTTGGAGAGATTTAAAAAATATATAAAGCTTGCTAAAAAAGTGTAGAATTTTCTAAAATGATCCAGGGAACTCTAGAAAAACTGTAGAGTTAGTCATTTTGTAAACGCATTCTTGTAATCCTACTATTCTTTTGTGTAGCTATCCTCAAACAGTCAAATTTGAGTGAGTCACTGTAGAGTTAGTCATTTTGTAAACGCATTCTTGTAATCCTACTATTCTTTTGTGTAGCGGAAGAATATTCGAATCGGAGAATTAAACTTGTGTGCTCCCTTTAATTCTTAAATGTCTATTTTAACTTCACAAAACGAGAAACTCAGAAACTCCGAGTTTTTCTCAACATAAATCAGTTAAAACGAAAAAGTAAATCTAGTCATTTAATAATACAATATAAATAGGTAACGTAGAGGCTTCTAATGCCAAAATTTTCATTAGACCAAATATTATGAACCCTTCTTGTTATACACACTTTTGTACACAGTTTGTACATTTATCTGTGTACACAAACAATTGACGGACAAATGTTGCCTTCTTCACAGGTGCAAAAACGTCATTTCGAGGCGCTTTTTTTTGTACACGTGCAGCGCTTTATGGCGCCTCTAATGTATAGTGCCGCAACGTGTTTTTAGAGGCGCTTCTCTGCAAAAAGCGCCTCCAATTTTTTAAATATTTTTTTTTTCGCTTTGCGTGCGGTGCTTCTTTGTTAAAAAGTGCCTCTAAATTTGAAAATCTTTGTGACGCGTGTGGCGCTTATTTGATCACAAGCGCCTCTGAATTTGAAAATCTTTGTGACGCGTGCGGCGCTTATTTGATCAAAAAGCGTCTCTGAATTTGAAAAACTTTTAGAGGCGCTTTACAGGTTGAAGCGCCTCTAAAATTTTATTTAATCAAAAATATTTGTATTAAAAATTAGCTAGATGCCCTGTTTATAATACGTAAAAATACATAAAACTAACTCCATACAATCAAACATATCCGATAAAAACAGTACCATATCATCTATAAAAACGCATAATGCACAATCAAATACGTGTTTAATTAAACATCCAATCAACATTCATACATTACAAATTTCATACATTACAAATTGTTTGGCTAAATAGTTTTTTCTCAACTTTGCAATACAACATCCAGAAAGTATCTTGACCATATATTTCTGATATCATTGAACTCTGCTAATGTGTATGGTTCACTTCTTGAACGCCATACCTGAAATGTATTGAAATGATCACAAATATATTTCACTTTAATTACAATACAATATATATATAATAAATAACTTTGCAAACTCACAATTTATTCATACCTTTCCAATATCATGATTTTCAGAGTATGATATTATTTCCCACATGAATCTCATGACATAATATCCACATTCAGTACTTCCGGTTTGTTGTGCAACCTGTATAGTTCACATCACACGTATAATAAATCAAAATTCCATTTCAAGATTACTTTCCTAAGATTAATTGTAGGATAGAAAGGATGTAACATACCTTCACACTATTCCATTTAATTGGCTTACCGCTACCTTTTTGTGCAGATGCAACCCTGTACATTCTACAATTTCAAACAAACATATATCCCTTATCGATCATAATATTAAAACATATTAATATGTAAATTAAGTTTATTCAAACAAATATATAATACTAACGTTGTCAAGTCTCTTTGAATACTAATGCTAGAACTCGAAATGGAATCAAAAATATATCCCTTATCGATCATAGGGCAAATGACAAGTAGAATCCAATGATACTTATATTGTATAAAATAACACAATAAATAAATAATGTATCACAAGAATTATTTCAATGGAAATATATTGTATATGTTTTACCCGTCATGGAATGGAAGGAAAATGAATGACTTTTCAAAGGACTTTATCAAAGCATGTTTCAAGTAAGTCATTGTGCCCTTTTTGTCCAATTTATAATGTTCAGAAGAGCACAGGTGAGGGCACAAAAAGCCAATGTCGTCACGGCCAAGCTCAACTAGCTTTTCTTTTAAACAACTGCACATACATAAATACTATCACACTTCGAGCACCTAAAGACATTTACTTAATTTAAAAGTAATGTATATTGAATACTTACACCAAGAAAGTCTGAATGATACAAATCTCAAGTGAGTCCCCCTCAAGAAACCGAGACAACTCATCACGATCAATTGTAGCCCCAAACGGACGATCTTCCTGAAAACAGAACACATTTGTAGAAAGATGGACAGAGAACTTACAATTTTCAAGTTCAAACCACTGCAATGCCTCGTGCAACTCCAAAACATCATCTGTAAGAGTATCAAGTATGCTCTCACTGACTAACGGGCATATAGAAGGTGCAACCGTTACTTTTGGAGAATCTCTCTCAACAAATGGGGTTTGCTTCTTCTTCATCTTTTTTTTTTGTGTTGAAATTGTGGTTCCTAAATAAAAGTTAACAACAAACACGATACACATATATAAATATATACATAAATTACACTTAATAAGATAGTATAAGGTTACTACTATTTAGCTACCTCCCCTCAAAAATCACCAACCGAGCTGGCCACTGAACAAAGGAACCCACAGCATCCGCTATAACATACATATCAGCCGATTCATTTGGAAACAACAAGGGACACTGATCACAACCTGGACATGGCATTGATATGTTCACTTTAATTGTTTTATCACACATCGATACATTATGAATCAAAGCACCAACTGGTGTGTTGTAAGCTACAGCTACGGCCACATAATCCAATCTCATATCACCATTAACAGTTTGTGACTCAACAGTCAGCCTACAATTTGCACCATCCTGCATGAATTTCCACATGCAATTAAAGATTTACATTGCATAAAAGACTTAATATCATATACTCCCTCCGTCCCAAAATTAATTTCTCATTCACATAGTAAATTTATTTTATTCTTACTCACAATGAAATATTTATGTGGAATATCAGCCGTGGAGTTCATTGTATCAACTTGGCCTGACTCAGAAGCTTGCGTTGATCTCATGGTAGGTTGTTCACCTCTAGGAACAAAGTAGTGATTCATATCTTTCAACCATCTCTCTTGCAACTTTTTCAAATCATCCTCACTCAAATTACCCACTTTATCACGCCGTCCACCTCTACGCTCTGCTGCAAACACTCGAGTATAACCCACACCACCACCAATGCCACGTGCACGGCCAGGATAGTCAGGTTTCCCTACAACCTCAGTCAAAATATCATGTCGTCCGATTGGCTTCCATGTCCCTGCAGCTATGTCATCTTGAATTTTGTCCTATTATATAGTTTATTTAAAGTGCATTAGCTTTAATTTAAGCGAATTTATAAAAGATATAAGAAACGTTTAACTTACCAATTTGTTTTTTTTCTCTTTCATGCCATCAGTATTACCGGGAAAAGCTAAATGTCCATCAGATGTCAATCCCGACCTAGCACAAAACCAGCTTACATGTCTTGGAATTTCTTCAGTTGTGGTTGTGCTAGACTTCGTTGAATCTACCTCCGATGTCGGAAGAAACCGGTCTAATAAGCCTTGCTCTTTCCATTTCGCCATGGAAAGCACATATCCTGAACGAGCCATGTGATGAGGAAAAATGTTTTGTAGCGCTGCTTGTTTGTTCTTCTCACTCAAAGCTTGCTCAATATGTTGGTTCAACATTAACTATTTATAAAAATTTAATGACCACTAAAATGCTAATAAGCGTAGTATCATTTTAATATAAATAATCATACCATAAACTCTGGAGTCGTACTCTTGGCCACAAAATCTTCCCACACTTCTTTTGTGAGTTGGTCTTTGTACTTCTCCAAAGGATCAACACAATCCTTTCCAACCGGTCGTGTCTTAGAAAGGTAACCTGTTCTTAACCGATTTCTCCAATCTCGGTGCATTTTGGACAACTTTTTCAATACTGTTTTAACCATGTTATCTTCCAGAACATAGTCATGCTACATAATGAATTAAATATAAAGTGTTAGCTAGCATATACAATATAAAGTGTTAGTTAGTATATATGATACATCAATCATTAAGAATTTTATGTATACCCGTATCTCTTTGATTAATTGAGCTTTTGTTGGACCTGAAACCTCATGCCAGCTATTAATATTGACTTTCACCCGACCACGCACCACTCTGGGCGAATTCAATTATTTTCTTCCCCTCACTATCTCTGCGACCACTACCGCCACCACCCTTGACATGACTATTAGGTGTATGGTCATGATCATCTCCATCATCATCGCTCATAGTGTTTACCTGCAATTCATATTCACAATAATTAGCACATAATATGATTTTTTTAAATAATATTAAAATGAAATTTAATTGTATAAAAATAATGTAAAACTAATGTACCATTCTGTCACTTTGACTTTTCAGTAATAACTTCTATGCCGTCATTATGATGTGCAATGAATGGAAGATCATCCTCATTGTAATCATAAGTCATATTCCTTTCGTTCATTCCGATGGACAATGAAGGCAATTCCTCAAAGTGGTCACCTTCTCCATCCTCACTATCACATATGATTTTTCTCTTGCCAGGTAAAAAACCAGACCACCTTTTATTTGAAGGATCTTCTATATAAAATACTTGTTCTGCCTGTGATGCAAGTATGAATGGATCATCACGATGACCTGATCGAGTAAAATCAACTAACGTGAGTCCCATGTGATCACGTTGCACCCCTCGACGAATATCGACCCATTCACATTTGAAAATTGGAAAAGTTCTACTGGTGTAATTCAGCTCCCATATGTCTTCAATCTTTCCATAGTAAGACAATTGAGCGTGTATAGGATGCTGATCATTCGCATTAGCATACTCAGTAGAAGATGCTACAACTGAAACTCCACTATTCTGCAAAACTGACTTCTCATCTTGTCTGATAGTATAATAAGTGTAGCCATTTATATCATAAGCTTCATAGGTATCAATTGGTCTTTTAGGACCATATGCCAACCACCTAACATCATCATCAACATCACAATACACATTATTTGTGTCATTGAAAATCAGATCCTTAAACCAAGCTGAAAATGTCCTATTATGTTCTTTAGTCAGCCACACTTCAGATTTGCTAGGATATTGGGTTTTCAAGACACTCAAGTGTTGTTGCATATAAGGATGAATGATTTCAAGATGATGCAACACAAGAAGATGAGCTTTTTCCAACAAATCATGGTCCACATTTTTTGCTTTTTTCTTCCCAAGAATACCTTTTTCATCAAGCCTATCATCATGTCTAGACTTTGGCACTCCTAATGATTCAACATTTGTCAAATAAGGAGTACAAAACTCAATGACTTCTTCATCAATTACACCTCTAATGATGCTACCTTCTGGGTGACAACGATTTTTAACTTTTGACTTCAAATAGCACATATGCCTCTCCATTCCGTACATGTACCTCAAAAACACCGGACCACACATTTTCACTTCTCTAACTAAGTGCACAACAAGATGCACCATGATGTCAAACAGTGACGGGGGGAAATACATTTCCAGCTGACATAATGTAACAACAACTTCTGATTGCAAAAGATCAAGTTTCTCTGGATGAATGACTTTCTGACAAATGGCATTGAAAAAGAAGCTTAATCTCATTATGGCATGTCGAACATGATCAGGTAGAAGACCACGTAGAGCCATGGGCAACAAATGTTGCATGAGAACATGGTAATCACGAGATTTCAATCCAACTAACTTCATATCTTGCAAGGATACAAGATTTCTAATATTCGATGAATACCCTGATGGCACCTTCATACCATGTAAACTCTCACAGAATCTTCTTTTCTCAACTTTTGATAATGTGTAGCTGCCTGGTGGAAGATAGAAACCATTAAGTCGTGGTTGTGGTGCCAACTCTTTTCTAATGTTGAGATGTTCAACCATGTCTTTTCGGATATTTATGTTGTCCTTTGACTTACCAGGAATGTTCAAAATAGTCGAGATAATGCTATCACACACGTTTTTTTCAATGTGCATGAGATCAAGACAATGCCTTACAGATAAGTCTTTCCAATAAGGAAGCTCCCAGAAGATGGATTTCTTCTTCCAAAGGCTCTGTTTGTTACGCTTATAAGGCTTTCCAAAGATCGTGTCTAAATCTTTCACCCTATCATACACATCATGACCACTTAATGGTGGACGGGGCACTTCATGTTCAGTTTTTCCATTAAATGCCTTCTTCAATGCACGATAACGATGAGTGCGTGGAAGAAACCTACGGTGACTCATATAAACATTCTTCTTGCAATGAGGTAAGCGCAAATCACAAGTGTTATCTTCACATATCGGACATGCTTTTGCACCTTTAACCGTGTAATCTGAAAGATTACCGTACGCTGGAAAGTCATTGATGGTGCAATACAACATAGCATGCATTTGGAAATAAGATCTTGTGTGCTTGTCATATGTTTTAACACCTTCAGCCCACAAAACTTTCAAATCATCAATAAGCGGTGCAAGGTACACATCAATGTCATTACCCGGTTGTTGAGGTCCCGAGATAAGCAGAGACAACATGATGTACTTGCGTTTCATGCACAACCACGGTGGCAAATTATAGATAACCAATAAAACTGGCCAGGTGCTGTGCTGACTGCTAAGCGTACCATATGGGTTCATACCATCTGTGCACAGACCAAGTCTCAAATTTCTGTCCTCTCTACCAAATTCCGGATATTTAAGGTCAATTTGTCTCCATTGCGGTGAATCAGATACATGACGCAAGTACTCATCCTTCTTC